TGCACAAAGTAACTTGGGCATTTAGTTTCTGACTTATTTTGAATAAGTATTTTGTTCCTTGAGGAGATGACTTTGTGTTAGTCATGTGTCTGTTTGAAGGAGGGGCTGGCAGGAGAACAGGAGATGTGGGAAGAACCAGGCATTTTCACATAGTGAGAAAATGAAGACTTAATGTCTATGCCTCCTCTGCACCAAGATCTGGGTGTCTAAGGAGGCTTGTGTTGAGCTGGAAGTAAGTTTTTCTTCACTTGGAATTTGGCCAGGGGCATTACGATTTCCCTTCTTCTGGCTGCTCTCAGATCTAGTCAAAGTCATGGAGATAATTGTCCCTCAGATTTTTGTCTCATTTCTTCATCTGTTTTACATTTTCTGCATTTTCCAGTAGTTTGTGAAAGACAGGAAGGAGGAATAAAATTGGTCACAGGTAATTTGTTGTTGACTGTATGTCCTTTACAAAAGGTGCATGAAAACAGTCCCATTAGGGCGGTTGATAGTCAGCTTTGTCATCTGCATGATTTTATCCCTTAGAAACGTTTAGATCCTGGTTGAATCAATAAATCTTTGTGCCCAACTTAATTCAGTAAATATGTGTTAAGTGCCTATTATCTGCAAAGTACTTTGCTAAGCTCCAGGAATCCAAAGACCCCAAATGGAACAGAGCCTCTTCAAAGGGCTTACCATTGTGGGGGCAGAGGCATGACATGGGCACTAAGAAGCACATTCATTCTGAGGGGGGGGGCAGTGTGGTTTAGGATTTTGTGCCCTTATGGATGAGGTGAGCCAAAGCTGAACCTTGCAGGAGAACGGGGGTTCTGAGAGTCAGAGATGAGGGTGGGCTTTATGGGCCTCACAGATGGGTTGGCAAGTGCTCCAAGGCAGCAGAGGGAAACCCGATTTCAGAGAACAGTTAGAAGTGGTGTTCAGCTGAGAGGTAAGCCAGACCGGGAGGAGCAGAGTGAGAGGTTGGTTGGACCCAGAATGTGGACGGCTTTCGTTGTCTGGCTGAGGAATTTGTGTGTTCTCTTTGAGACAGTGGGCTCTGGAATGACCTGTATCAGAGACTGATTGATGAGTAGCCGGAGGAGACTTGGGTTGTATTAAATTACTTATTAAACACCATTTACTAGTTGCATAACTTCAAATAAATTACTTCCCTTTTCTGATTCTGTGAAATAAGGCAGTGTGATTACATGATCTTTAAAGTCCTGTCCAGCACTGAGATTCTTTAATTCTCAGCCTTTCTTTCTTACTGAAGAAAAGACTGCTGCTAAATATGGCACACCTATTCCTCTTACTGTCTTTTCTGCACTGGTGTTTTTGCTTTATAGTATAGGGCAGGCCATCATTTTGCTGTTAGGTGTTGAATATCTGGTTAGTTCAAGCTGAATTTCAATTCATTTTCTTTCTCCAGAAGCTTGCTTTCCCACCTTCCTTCCTTCCTTTCTTTCTTCCATCTTTCTATTCATCCTTCCTTTCTTCCTTCTGTCCCTCCATAATTGAACCTGTCTGTAATACATGAAGCCCTGCCCCGTGGAGGCTAGAACGAAAGGCCTGGGATTATGACTCATCTAGAGGCTGTTGCATAAACTTGGGGCAGGGGGAGGGATGTTCCTACTTTTAGACAGATGTTACAGGCAAGCCTTCCCGGTCTCCTTGCTTCTGTGATGTTTGTTCAACACACTTGGACGTAATCCAGGAGAAAAAGGAGAAGGAAGCTTGTTGCATTTACGTGAAGGAAAAAAAATTCTCTCTCAAGTCAAAATAAAAGTTGGATTTGGTTTGGATAGAATCTGTACTTTAACTGAAACTCAACCCCAAAGAGGCTTTGATCCCTCTGCTAGTACTTTCTTAGGCAGAGATAATTTATGACTTCATAATGCGTCATGGTATTGGATATTGACGGATGGATTTCCCATCATGATGCTTTTTCCATATTGTCTCTAATGGCTCACGAGCGTGTGGCTACCTCTCTTTACTGCCTTGGCTTTCATAATTCAGTTGTGGAAGGGGTATTGTACACGTGAAGATTTTTGGTAACAAGCACAAAGGGGAAGGATCAGACAGACTCCTGCACACCCCTAACCCTGTGTGTGTGCCCTTAATCAGTGGCCCAGAGCAGGGCTTGTGGAGTCCACATCTCTTTCATCTCATGTGACTGTGTCAACCAGAGGGTTTTCAAAATCTCTCATTTCAGCACCCTGAGCCATGCTGGTTGAACTTAGATCCATCACTGAAATAAGTTGATGTAATATTCATCTTGCTAAATAATTTTTCCCCTTATACTATCCTAGCTACATGAATATTAAGGGTGTTCCCCATTTCTGGGCTTCATTATCACAATAGGAAACAATGAAACCTAGGGTCTTAGCCCTGAATCACTTGATAGGGCAATAGTGATGGTGACTCCGTGTGAAACTTGGAAGTTTACAGTGGCCTTTGTCACACACGTTGTCACATTCAAGCCACACAGTAATCCTGTGAGATGGGTGGACAAGCTAATGCTTGTCCTTTTACACATAAGGATGTCAGGGCTCACAAAGGTTAGTCCTGGTCACACAACTTAGTCTATGTTGAGGGATTCAAACCCGGGTCCTGTGGCTTGAAATCCAGTTTGCTTTCTGTTCCAGGAGAGCGCTTCCCTTTGACTCACAGGAACCTGAATAACTAATGAAGCCCCTGAGCTGGATTACCAAACCACACCTATCCAGGCCGTGGTTGAGAGGCTGTTCTATTATGGAAGGAAGGGTGTACAGTCATATCCTGGTGATAGACCATGATGAATACTCACCATTATGACCCAGAGAACAACTGGGCAGCAGCCTGGGTCCCTAGAGAGTAGAGCTCCTGAGTTTAATCAGAACAGCTAGAGAGTGTAAATATACTAGCTTTTCTGCTTCAATCAGGATTTCGCTCATTTGAAATGAATAAAGACTCCAGTGGGAAAATATCTCAATATTGTTTTTAATTTTCCCTTTGGAAGGGCAAGGAGTTGTTTTGCAAGGGTAGGGAAAAAAATTCTAGTATAATGAAACAAGCAGTAGTCTGAGAGGTGGGAATCCTGGGTTCTGTTACCAAATCTTCCTTGAGACCTTGGGCCAAGATCCTTGGAGAGTCACAAAGTCCTGGAGCTGGGTGCAGAACCTGACATGGCCTTCATGGCAGTCTTTTTGCTTATGTTTATTATGAGTGATGCAAAGCAGGATGGGCTGATGCCCTGCTCATAGCTTTGAGGGAGGAAGAGTGAAAATGAAGGATGGCCTAGTAATATCTAAAGGTGCTTTTTAAAAAATTATGCACATATAAAACTTTTGTTGCTGTTGTTAAATCATTTCAGTCATGTCTGACTCTTCATGCCCCCACTTGGGGTTTTTTGGCAGAGATACTGGAGTGGTTTGCCATTTCCTTCTCCAGCTCATTTTACAGATGAGGAACTGAGATAAACAGGGTTAAGTGAATTGCTCAGGGCCACACAACTAGTAAGTGTCTGAGGCAGGATTTGAACTCAGGAAGGTGAGTCTTCCTGATTTCAGGCCAGGCTCTCTCTTCACTGTATCACCTAGCCATAAATCCCCGAGTGCCATGGTAGTTTGGGTAAAGGGAGATGTGTAGATTATAGTGTGTTACCAGTGGGGATTTGCATATCAAAAGCCTGAAAAAGCTCTCCTCACAGAGAAATTTGACTAGAAAGTGCAATGGACTGGTCATTTATCCAGAGCAAGGAGTGATAAGGCTGCTGACCAGCATGTTTCATTTGTCTCCATGTAATGCCAACAGGTCTGGAGGAAGGGCCCCCATCAAGTTGGGTCAGAGAGTTCTAGGAGAGCAGAGATGGAAGACATATTGCAGTCTGCACAGTTGAGGAGAACACCAATGAGAACACCAGCATCAATGAGATCATGGGTTCATGAGAGTCCAGGGTCTCATCCTGGTATGGAGTGATTCTGGGTAGAATTCTGAAAGTCTGCAGGAGTAATTCAGCAAAGGTCTGTCCGATCCTACTCAATGCTGGAAAGGCTTTGAGGACAATCCAAACAATAGGCTATGTCTTTAATTGGAGATGAGCCCACCTGGGTGCAGAAATTCCCATGCCCAAAGGAATGGCCACTGTATAATGAACGTGGCTGTCCACAGTTCCTGAACACCGGAGGCTGTCTCCCAGTGTAGTACAAAAGGATTGGAATGTCTCTTTTTCTAGATTTTTCAGAAACTTGACTGAATCATAAATCCTTGAGGTATTGAAGCATATTGTGATCTAACTTCAGATTAGAAGTTAGCTAGAAACACTTACATTTGTTAGCATCTGTTTTTGTAGCTCAGGGGCAAAAGCTTGGGGAAAATATTCCAAAATTGAATGTTGTGGCTGTCTTCCTGCTTGTCATTTTTATAACATTGGGAAAAAATTCCTATTGTTTAGTGATCTGTGAAAAGATTAATACAGAAGCACATCTGGTGAAACCAGCTCTAGGAAGATGAGGAAGGTAAGCCTGGGACCCAGAGACTAGAAAGTCCCAATGCTGCCCCTTTACCCTTGGCAATCCAACCTCTGAAGCATTCTGAGTTCCTGACGTACGAGCCGAGCATCTGAAATGAATGGCATTAGTAAGCGGGCATTTCAGGAAATTGTTTTTCTCAGGGTTTGGAGTCTAATGAGTGGCCGTGTGAACACAGAAAATCGCATTTCAGGGTCCACTTTCCTCCTGTGTAAAGTGAGAGCTGGACAAGATGATGGGGTGACAATGGGAAGATCATCCTGGCCAGCGTTGATGTAGCTTCAAGGTTTACAGCCCACTTTACACGGGTTATGTCTTTTAATGGCATTGTATAATTCTCCGTGACCTTGCACTGGTGCCCTCTTTGCTTCTCAGTTTTCTCCTCTGTAGAACGAGAGTGATCTCTAAGGATGCTGCCCGCTGGGGCATTCTGTGAAGAAAAATTAGAGTAGCTTATGTGTGAAAATGGCATTTAAGCACAGAGAGCTATTTCTTCCTTTTGTCTTCCAGAAAACATTGTTTTCCTGAGAAAGCAACGCAAAGAATAAGATAAAAAAGAAAGGAAGTTCACCTTGAAAAAATCCAGAGCACTTTGAAATTTCAAGGAAACCTTCCATCACCTGCTGCCGCAGCCACGCTGGGCCTGGGATGTGGCGAGTGCTTCGCATGTCAGTGGTAAATGAACTTCTTTCCTGTGCTTTTCTGTTCCTGTCAGGAGCCTGTGAGATGATTGGAGAATTTTCTGTTACATTTAAACAGTTGCCAAAAGTATTGATAAAGCTCTTAATTTGATAACTAGCATTAAGCAAAATGATGTTTTCATTTGCCTTCTTAAGATCTAATTTTCCAGTTGGTGGAAGAGTTCTTCTTCCTTCTTTCTTCAGATAGATCATACTGCCTGAAGCAACAGCAGCTTTTAAGTCGATATAAAAACATGACGTCATGCTCTGATCACTGAATGGCTTTTCATGCTAGGGAAAATAACAGAATCTCCGTGCGAAGGAGTCGGTACTCATCAAATGCCTGTGTGCCGCTTTCTGGTTATTCTTCAGGACTTGTCTTCTTTCAGGCTGCTTTTCTTCTCTCTCCCCTCCCTCCCCATGCCATGCCTCCCGCTCTTGGAACCTCATAAGTGTACTAAATTAGGAGCGGGGAATCTGCGGCCTTCAGGCCACCACCCCTGTACGAAATGGTGGGGAGAGAACTGGAGAAAAATGGGGCTTGTGGTGTTCTCTTCTCCTCCTTTTGGTCTTTATTGCTCTGGCCTTTCTTTTCCCTTCCATGTTCTCCTCCCATTGCCCCCTCTCCTCTTTCTACCTTACCTTATTAAGCTCTTTGCTCTTAGGAGAGTTGGACAGATTCAGGGGAAGCAGGAAAAGCAGGAGAATTCAATTCAGTTCAGCAAACCTTTATTAAACACCAGACTTTGTGCAAAGCACTTTACTAGACAATAGGGTAATACAAAGAAGAACCCAAGAAGCCCTGCCCTCAAAGGATTGACATGTTCTTAGGCTAAGAGAGCATGTGTACTAATGAGTATATAGTGCAGTGGGGCTAGAGTCAGGAAAACCACCTCAGACACTTAGTAGCTGTGTCACCCTGGGCATGTCTGACCTGCCCTGAGGCCCACCCATTACTGAAGAGGCAGGATTTGGGTACTCCAAAGGAAGATGAAAGAAGTAGGAGAACCAGGTGAGAAACATGTTGTGAAGGCTAAGAGAAAGGCCCGGGGAGGATGATTTGCAGTGTCCTGAGGTGCAGAGAGGCCAAGGAAGGTGAGGTCCCGGAAAAGGCCATTATCATTTGAGAAGATCAGTAGTCTTGGAGAAAGCAGAGTTTGACCAGTGGCCAGCCAAAATCCAGACTGCAAAACTTGGAAAAGTGAGTAGGCAGTGAGTGAGGGGAGGCAGCAAACAGAGGCTATACTTCTTGGAGTTTGGCAGTGAAAGGGACAAAAGAAAGAGGGTGATAAACTGGTGGGATAGCAGAGTCAGGAAAGGATTTTGTTCTTAAAGGGTTGTCCCATTTTCAGACTTTATTGGCTCTTTTTGTGTTCTTGGGCAACAGGAAGAGAGAGAAACAGAAATTGACTGGGGATGAGGAGGGGGATGGAACATGAGTTGCTCCATGGGGGGCTCTCTATTGGAAGATTCAGGGTGACATTGTATACATAGACATAGTTAAAGGGTCTGGCCTTAGTGAGGAGAACCACTCATTCCACAGAGCCAGGAGGGAAGAGGAAGATAATGAATGAAGATGTGTAAGAATGTTCGTGGATGTATAAGAAGAGAGAAGAGGAGCACTGGGTGAGTGTTTTCTCAGTAATGTAGGAATCCAAGGTCATCTTCTGAGAAAGAGAGAAACAAGATTTGGAACAGCTACAGAGAAGAGCAAGATAGAGACTCAATCCAGGACTAGTAGAAGCTGTGAGGGCCTATTCAAGACAGAGTAGACCATCTGCTAAGTGAAGCCGTGAATCTCTGGTGGCATTTAGCAGCTCAGGAGGAAGAGTGGTATAGCAGAATGGGCATGATGCCTGCCATAGCATGAACAGCAACAGGACGGGGGGGGGGAGTTTCAAGGGTGAGGGCAGTGTAGAGTTGGTCTACTCTAGGGCCAAGACTGCAAAGAGAAGAAATTGAGGCCAGCACAGGAATGACTGATTAGAAAAACGGGGACAGATGGAGGAATTAGAGGTTGCAGTAAGAATGAAAGATGGATTTAGGAGGAGTGAGGCAGAGGGAGAGAAAGGCAAGAGATTAAACTCAGAGAGAAATATCTGAATTCAGTTTAACAAACATTAATTTGCCAGGCATTAAATAAGGCACTAGGAAGACAAAAAAACTATTCCTGCCCTTGAGGAGCATACATTCTATTATATAGAAATATAAGCCTATGATATGCAAAGTAATTTTAGGGTAAACATTAATTACTGGAGTATTGTGAAAGAGGGGAAGGGGGGAACAGAAAGGAGGGATCTGAACCAGATGATGAACCTAAAAGAAAGAGATATAGTGTTCAGTGATGGTGGCAGCCAGGGCTAGTGTCCAGAATGGTTAAAGGGGAGAAAGAAGCTTGCCAACACTTACTCCTGACCAGCCCACTGGACGTGGTCACCAGGGAGGGTGACCAGCATTGCAATATCTTCCAGACAGTCAGGATTCTATGAATACTGTAAGACAGAAGAGTTTAAGAGGAAGAGAGAGAGGCTGTGAGGGGAAGGTTGTTCATGGACAGTATTTGCAGAGGAAAGGGGAATGAGAAGAGTGGGGAAAACGAATGGAGAGGCAATGGGGGAAGGGATTCTCAATCTGGGAGATGTCAAACCTGACTCCCTAGGCTTAGATGAGCAGGAGGCACAAATCCTGTAGTCTGCGTGTCAACCATTTTGGATCTCTGTCTTCCAAGATTTTCTCTCCCTAACCTGCAGCAAGCTAAGGGCTTGTGACAGGGATTTAAAGTCAGATGTAGATTATCAAGAACTAGGCTAAACACACACAAGGCACCAGTTCAGCTCCATCATGATTAACTTGAGTTAAAAAAAAATGTACAGCTCTTTTTTGGTGAGGATTATAAAATGATACCAGCTAACATTTAATGCGAGTCAAAATTCAGTTAATGTGATACATATGAATTAAGGTCTTTAACATGCTGTTTTGTCATTGGTCTTCACTTGCTGTGTGCTGCTTCATCACATAAGGACCAACAGTTGTGTTTCATGTTTTTTAAAAAAGAGCCCTTAAAAGCAGGCAAAAGAAAAAATGCCTCAGACAAACATTGACGGCACACACACACACACACACACACACACACACACACACACACACACACACACGGGCGGGCCACACACACACACACACACCCCTTAGAACAGAAACGATGTAATTGAGCGGCATGAACGTGATCCTAGTCATTCTAAACTAGCACAAGAGCTTGGAACAGCTCAGTCGACAGCATGGACAATCACAAAGCGTGCAGGTACAACGGGGAGAGGATAAGGAAGACAGCAGCATCTTTGTATGGTTTGCAGACAGCTACAAGGACCAGCGGAGTCATTGTGAAAGAAGCGGAGCCCACATAGGGGTGGGGGTGAGTGATGCTGCTGTCCAGACAGAAGCTGGCGCATACTGATGTCCCAAGAAAAGAAGGAAGAAATGGAGACTCTGAGGATCAAATTTAATGTGAGTGAAACTGGTTCATTCTGCAAAAGGTGCTTTCCAGAACTTAACATTTCTAAGAAAGAAAAAACTCAACCTGGATTTAAGAGTGTTTGCAGATGTCAAAAGTTATGCCCGAGAAGTACAGTGTACAAAAGAAAGAGGCCACCCTCAAAAAATTGAAATCGACCTTTTGAGCTATAGAAGTTGGGAAGCCAGAAATTATGGATGCTGACCCTAATGTTGATCAAAGCATGTAGACTCACCAAGATGTGAATATGACAGCAGTATCTTTGTACCCACCCGCATGTGTATAAAGATTTGAAGAAAGAGAAGAAAGTTCAGTCTATGCTACTGAAATATTTTAAATGACAGAAATGATGGTTTTCTCACATCATTAGTGTAGGGTTATCTCTAGGTGCAATATTCAGTAACTTTTTTGATTTTTAAAATTTTGCTTTTATAATTATAACTTGTTACTTTGTACTGAATGAGTAAGAAATGCATTTTCTTATTCTTTACGGTTATATTACATTAATAAGCAGATAAAACTTATTTTAAAATTTTTTTCATTGCATATTTCCATTGGGCTGGAACCAATTACCATATTTTACATATAATTATAACTTTTAGTAATGTGAATTTGAATGATGTGATGCTTTATATGATTTATTATTCACACTAATGGGGACATGGCTGTAGTTACCTCCCAAGATGTAAAGCTGTGCAATGTACCCAGTATGAGTCTACACATTCAGCCTTGTTCAGGCCTGGCATCTGTGACTCCAGACCAGTGTCAGGTCTTTGCCTGAAATCTCTGTCAGCTTTCTGGTTCCAAACACAGCGCTAGGATCTAATACAAGAAAGGAGGGAAAACCTCCCAGCAAACAGGATTATTTAGACCCAACACAGCCCAGGCACAGGAGTGAGCAGAGTACGGGAACTAGATCTTGGTAGTGAGACCTTGGCAGATACTTAGAGTTAGGTTTCTGGTCATGAGAACCCTTATCTGTGCTAGAGTGCCAGCCAAATACAGGGCAAGTATAAAAGAGAATGGGGGCGGGGGATTTAGAATGTGCCTGACGCTCAATCATGGAAGTTCTCTGCACCACCCCTGGGCTACAGGCAATGCCCAGCTGGAATTCTATCCGGGTGGGGGGGGGCTGTCTGTGTGTGTGTGGTGTGTGTGTGTGTGTGTGTGTGTGTGTGTGTGTGTGTGTGTGTGTGTGTGTCCAGGAGGGAGGCTACTAAAGCCCACTTTTCCAGGGCTGTAGAATCAAGCTGCAGTGAAGTCAGAGGCAGAGCCCAAAGGCCTCAGCCAGTGCAAGCAGCGTGCCCTCAGACACAGCTGCATTCCATTGTTCTTTCCTGTCCTTCGAACAAGGTGCCCCTTCCACAGTCCTTGGCCTAGTTAATACTAACTTGTATGAAATAGTAGAGCCCATGGAGCCGTGGCCACAAAGTCATCTCTCGGGCCCATTCCTCCCAGAACTTCCTTTGGAAGAGATTATTGCCATA